TATCTGACAGAGAGACTCGGAAGAAACGATGGAAGGGATGACGGAAGTGTCAAGGGAAAAGTCGCGATAATTTATTTTACCGCTGTTACAAAAATCTTACACGACTACGAGCGATCCGCGCAACGAGTTAACAGCCATTTAGATAATAAACTGTACATTTCGCGCTAAATGATAGCCGAGATCCCCGCGGTTCCCTCGCGCATCGTTACCGTTGTCTGGAAATGAAGGAGGGAAGGTCGAGTCTCCACGCATTAGAAAAATATCAAGGGCAATATTTCTTCCCCAAGAGTGTTGTTCGTCGCGCCTTTCGTAACCGAGAACGAGACCTCTGGAGAAAGAAGTAGGAAGGGTGAAAAGAAAACTGCGATAAGTAAGATCCTGTTGCGTTTTCTCTCCGATCTCCGGAATTCTATAACGCAAAGTTAAGGAGAACATACTGCGATGGCCTTCAAGTCTGAAAGTTCGGAAAGTTAACACAATTCAGAGGTCCGAAGTTTTGACTGTTTCGTCGCAACATAACGAAACTTGAGAAATCACGCTGAGAAATACTTGTTGCAGACATCTTTAGAAGTCTATTTAGTCTACGACATGACGATTAAACGTCTACTGTTTGGAAGAACTAATTGAAAAACTATAAATTTCTCTTTCTTCTCAAAGACAATTTTCTTCCGGCTGTCGTCATGAAAGATGTATTTCAGATTATATCGTATATGATAAATAGAGATACGCAATTTATAGAGAGCTGAGATTTATGGAGAATTGCAGCTAATATTTCCTATGACTGTCAGCGAATATCAGTAACGTGATTAATTTGTGATACTAAATGAGATCATACTGAAATTAATTATTCGGATATTTTCGGTTTTGTAGATTGGAAATATTATCTTTAGATTTCACATATTGCACATCGATTATGTATCAAGTTGCACGCGGTTCAGAGATATCCATTAATAAAAATATACTACAGTAAAAATATATACGTAAATTATTTGCGGAAACAATGGTTCCATATTACAGAAAAATATTTGCATTGATGTTAATATTTATGACGTATACATTTCGGTATTTTATTTCTACTTTTAACGGCATTATCAGATGTTTTAAAAATTTATATTCTTTACATATTTTTTTCATACTGAAAAAAAAATTAAATCCTTGAAACCAATCCCCGGTATTACCAATTCTGATATCCCCAGCCGTATTAGCAGATTATATAGTAGTAAAAATTTTCAAAAACAGCAACAGCTTTCGCGATAACGTTTGAATGACGAAAATTATTTCAATTCATAGAGACGTTATTCACAAAGAATACCCGCGGGAGAAGTTCTTAGCTATTTTTTCTCGCTCGGAGAATCCACGAATTTCTCATAAATTACCATAATTTCCCAACTTAAAAAAAATAAAAGTCTCACGTCTGGATTCGCGTAGAATTCCATCCCGATTACGTCCATATCGGAGACGAGTCATAATTTACGGACGACTCGCGACGCGGGAACGAGTGCATTTGCTTTCCATCGACGTACAGGGAAGGGGGAGGGAGAGGGGAAGGAGGGAGGGGAGAAAACACACTTTTCACACCCTCGCTCGAAATACCATAAAGCGTGGTTAAGCGGGAAGGTCGAGCGAAGTTAAGTTGGGTTAGGTTAGCGTCGTGAATGACGGAGGAGGGTCGCGTTTCGTCCCGATAAAGTTTGTTCGATCGGCCGTTAGTCTCCTTCTTATGGCCCCTTTGCCGTGACAAGCTTTAAACTACGTTCATTCGCTACGAAAGTTCGCGAACGTTCGCCCAATAACCTGAGCTTTAAAAAAAAAACCTTTTGCTTTAAAAAAAAAAATATGCGCGAATTCTCAAAGAGAAAGAAGAGATGTGTGGATAATAAGACATAAAAACTGATGACAAAAAAACTTTCTTACAAAAATACACCTCCCTCAGAAAAATTAGATTTTACGCGTCCGTTGGCCGTTTAAATTCTTCTTTACCTACATCCAAAATTTATGCTAATTATGCATAAATGTGTTATTCTCGAAAAGACTTCACTCGGGTCACGACTCCACAATGTGGAACCGGCATTACACACACGTGCGGTTCGTGTCTTTTCCCGTGGACTTGGAGGTCGGGCACGTTGTGCCGGAAAGCGTGCAACGGCCGCGGACGAGCGTTTAACTTTGTTCCGAAGTTCTCCAAGGTCGTGCCGGCGCGGCGCGGCGCGGCGCGCCCGTTGTAGGTCGGTGCCACTGGAGTAAAGCAGCGAGAGAGAATTTCCCGAGGCCGCGTCATAAATCTCTATCTACTGCCTGGGGGTAAATGTTCGCGGAATAGACTTTGGCGACGATTGTAATTTCGCGCCACCACCGGGATGTTGTCTCATCCCCACGTGTATGCGAACACGTGTGAGTGTCCGTGTACCTGTACCGCCGAGAGCGCAAAAGATTTATCTGGCCCCACTTTCTTTTTTCTCGCGTGAACGAGGAGGAGCAACGTTTATTGCTTCAGCGGTTATGGCTTTCGGTAAATAAATTTATTACCAATGTGACGTAAATGCGGAAGAATATTTTAATCTAACCTTTTTATTAACTTCTTTTAAACACAGCTACATACAATAACTATGGAAAACTTTATTTTAGACCGCTGTAAAAAAATGAAAATTTCTCTGTGATGATTTTTTAATATCTCATATAGGATCGCCAACCATTACAACGAAATCAACTATTATCGATGGCCAAGGTTCTGTCAACCAGTGCTTTGAACCATCACTGGCTCAAATGACTGGCTAAAATGATTGGGCCAGTATCATTTATCATTACTGGGCTGATTAAAATTCTATACGGGACATTTAATTAATAAAATTTTTAATCGCACATTTTTATTTAGACATTAGTGTAGAAAAAGATATTCATCTATACAAAGCTATTAATCTATTAATCTGCAGGAAATATCCTCTTACATGAATTTTCATCTTTGCATGTATTTTAGTATTACCATAGGATTAAGATATAACCTCGAACTGATTATAATACACGAGCACATTAGCAAGACGGTCACTTCTGCGACAAAGTGTGACACAGAAAGGGATTAACGAAGTGAGACTTCAACGCGTAAATAATTCACTCGCATAGTCGGCAAATCAACCTCCACAAACGACAAGCTATTATTTCTAGTTGCACGTGACACAAGGCGAACTCATAATCCAATTTTATGTGGCAAAGTAGAAAAAATCGATCGCGACCCATGCCTGACCTAAACTCCGCGTTTAATCCTTTTCTATCGGTTCTATAGCTTGATCCGCCGACAAAGTATTATTTGGCCGTTAAATTATTGCGATAACGCAGTATACAGTTTCACGGAAATGTCAAAAACAAAACTCCCCGGGGGATTACTTGACAACGAGCACTTAGCTGCTCATTCGTACGGCCATAAAAACGATCGTTTGAACTTTTCGCACGCACTGCCGATCTGCATAACCGCGGGAAAACCGGCGCGAATACCTTTTATACGTTACGTTAAGCGCCGTGTTTGCTTTTCGCGATACGAAATAAACGATCGCGTGCGTTTACCAAGCATTCATACGTCAATATTTAGAACGAATTGTCGTTCGTACGATTTACCGCTGTTTGTACGCTATTTATACGCACTATTTATTATTTATACAATGGAAATTTGCGATTCGCGGCGCTAATTGACGCTCGTCGCTGTTGCAACATTCAAGCGGTCAACCGCTAATCGTTTGTACATCTTGCACGAGATTAATTTATAGATCTTCATGAAATAGTTCTCTCTCTCTCTCTCTGTGTGCTTTCCTTTCTCTCTTTTCGCATTTATTCTATATCCGCAATAGATCGAAAATTAAAACAAGTGAAGTAAGAATCTTACAATATCCTAAAATGGAGTCACCCAGTTTTACCGTGTAACAATAGTAAATTAATATTGGAATACCAATAATTTCGTCAATACTTCACAAATGATTAAAACTGCTATCTTGTAGAATTAATTCGATAATTGAATTATTATTGAATTATTTAAGAAAACTGGATGACGAAGAAAATTAAGCTTTTGAATTGTTGCTTCGATTAAAATACTTGGAGTAAGTTGAAATTAAGAAAAAAAAGAAGGTGAATCGGTGAATCGGATTAAAATATGTCTCAAGTGTGTAATAAACTTTAATGATGAAATTCACGATGATGATTTTAGTATAATCCGGGCAAAACGATACCAGCGCGGTACCATCGACAATGGAAACAACAATGGTTGTCATTTCTATTACAATAGACACGCTGCGCGCTTCTGTTCTAACAATTCCATTATCTCCGCGCGAAAGCCTCCGCCAGGGCGAGGCTTTATTATGCCTATCAGAAAATTTAGATCGTTTATTTAATGGGATATAAATAGTCGAGCGCGGCCTATTAACAAAATACGGAGTATTTCGCGCGGAACAATAGCTTTGCGAAGTCATTTGGCCGTTCATGCGACGACTGCAATTATACGTTTCGTTATAATGGCGCCACAAGTAAGCAATTTAATGCTTAACGTTATGCAATTAAAATTAAAAATGGATCACATAATATCACGGACGTCGATTTCATTAAAATTTTTAAAAGCCGCCCATGCGTTTCGGCGATGCGTTCCAACGATGTAACATGCTCCATTGTACACGATAATAATTTCATCTTTTTTTTTTTTTTTTCGTAGCCACAATTACTGCAAGACGTGAAAAATTATGACGCAGACATATATTTTTTTCTTTTTTTTTTTTTTTTTCGTAGCCACAATTACTGCAAGACGTGAAAAATGCAAGGGAAACCATTTTAAATTTAATAATTTATCAAGTATTTAATTTGAAAGTCTAATTTTGCTTGTGAATCTTAAATTAATAGGTCAGGATCAATTCACAAATTAATACTTTACTACACGGAGTAATGAAGTTCATTATGATCGTGAGGACGCCATCATTAAGTTCTTAGTATTAATTTATGCAGATAAGTAATTGTGCCTCTCTTTTCAGGGAAATGCCTACATCTAAGTGGTCTCACGCCCGAACCATTGACTGCGGACGACGATTACAAACTTTTGCGACTCGGTATTGGCTTTACAAATATGGTAGCACGTGCGACAAAAGGCAGCGCAGATCTTACAAGAAAGGAAATTAAAGAAGGTCAGTATGCCGAACATTTTTAGTTCGAAACGAGCGATGAGATAATTACGAAATCTCGGTCGAAAATAATTATTGCATAATCCGATATCGCCCCGACATAATTTACGGGAAAATTAATTTGAACTTTGTATTATATTCACGTGCGTTATACAATATTTTATCATAATATTTATATTTTATTATGTAAAAAAATCGAAAGATAGGATATATGTATCGGTCCGATTAATATTTATGAATTTAAGCTCCACAGTTCCGACATAATAAGCGTTTGAGACATGAAATTAAAACATTCTTAAAATTTATGAAGTTATTTTTGCAATGATTAATTATATACAGAGTTCCTATTGGTTTTTTTTTTTTTATTAATTCTTTAGTCGTCTCGATTTTCCTTTTAAAATGGTTTATTCAAAATTTGTAATTCAGAACATTGAGCTGACATGCATCGCCGTGCATGCCTATTGCTTTCCTTTTTCTATTTCCTTTTTCTATTTATTAAAGTCGGCTCTAAAACATGGTCAACATGTGCCTTTGAAATCAACATGGATTATCCCTGCTGGACTAATGTTGATGTTCACGCCTATTACTTTTCTTTTTCTATTGAAAAAAAAAAAGGAAGACAAGGGTCATTGACATACGTCAATACAATGTCTACAATTTATGAATCTTAAACAAACAATTATTCGAAAATTCTTTCAAAAATTCTTCTAAAAAACAAGGAGGAAACAATGATTTAATCATTAGAACTGTAATATTTTATGTGTCTATTGAAATAGAAATTTAATAAATTCAAGGACACATGTTTTAAATTTTCGTAACATCAATTAATATCTCACAATGATGAATTGTATCACGATTATCAGGAACCGATTCTCTTTGAAATATATTGTTAAACACAAAGAAAGTTGAAGTTTGGAAAGTTGTTTCGCTTCTTAAATCTGAGACTAAGCTGATATAAAGAAGATACATGTGTCTTAGATGTTGCTGTTTGACAACATATGAGTGAGTGTTCGGAGAAAATATTTTTTAAAAAAACTTTATTTTTAAAAAGTAAATATTATCCAGTGAAAAATGAATCATCGAATTGATGTCGAATCGATATCAATGATTTCAACACCAATTCGATGTCGATTCGACGTTTAATTGACAATCATTTCTTGCTGGTTAATTAACAATTTATTCATAAAGAATAAAATAGACTGTATGTTTCTTAAAATTATATATATATCAAAAAGATGTGTATTAATTATAGAAAATATATCTGAAAAATAAGCAAAAATTAAAAATTTTATTGTTTGATTGCTTAAAATATTCGTACAGTCAGAAATTTAGTTTCTAAAATCAAGAATACATACAGCGAAGCTCGTTCGTTTATGTTAGAACAGAATATATTCATTGTATAAAATGGCTAATTAACGTTTACTTTTTACAAATAAGACTTTTTTTTAGAAAAAATTTCCTTATACGAATTTTTGCTCTCACTGTACTTCGAGAAACTCGGTACCGGACAGTTGTGATGACAGTCCTTTGTTAGTTTATCCAAATATTCCAAAAACAGAAAATAACCGAGAGACGTTTACAAACACATATCCTATAAATTGATAAGCTTTTCGAACGAAATGTGTTGTTGGTTGACCTACAGCAACTGAGAAAACTAATGAAATTCGAGAAAACTTCAACAAACCAATATGGCTTTAACGGTAAGCAAGCTCGATCGCTATTATTTTGCTTGAATGTTCTCAATTGTGATTGGTCGCTTAAGCAGGAAGTTAAATGGTATATTTACCGATATTCGACGTTTCGACTATGGTACTGGTAAACTACAGAACCTACAAATCCTATCGTGACGCAGCGCTTTCTTTGTTGTTTTGCTTAGGTAGTTTTCTTTAGAGTTTAGAGGGGGTCTGTAGTATCTAGCTTCTAGGTAGTAACTTCAGTATACCTCAAACAATTAGTGCGATTTCGATCGTAAGACTGTAAACGTCGGTCCTCTTTCAGAAGACCCGTGCTGAATCTCGAAAGAGATACGCACAATCGCAGCATGGGAAACACGGGTTAAAGAAATAATCGCGAGATAAGTGCGTGAGAGGTACCCAGGGTGAATTATCTAAATCGCTGGAACGTAAGAAGTGTTCTCTTTTTCTTTTAACGGTGCAATGCGTGCTCGCGACGTAAACTTCGGTCTCGCTCAAGTTTATTTATTCGTGCTCTACCCTTCGTTCGAAGTTTCGGGATACACTCTTGCTCCGAATATATCTCAGGAACGTGAAACAGAATCTCATCGAATGCACTGAGTTCTAAATAAATAATCGCGACCCAAGAATTTTCACGTTGCGGAATTTATGCCAAAAAAGACGTTGTTACATGTGTTATACGATCACATGTTTTCCGAGCAGCCATGCGTGTGTGTGTGTGTGTGTGTATGTGTGTGTGTATGTGTGAGATAAAGGCGAGAATATAGACACAGAGAATAGTTACATAACGCATAGTGCATAAGAAAGTGAATCAATCAAAGCAATTAAGCAGTAAGCGAATCGACATTTCTATGGGCTTTCTATAATAAGCTACAATCTAAGCTTTAAATTTAAATAATAAAGTCGTTAGAAATTGATTAATCACAGTCGAATGTGAGAAGAATAATCGACTATGATTGGTCAATTGTAAAAAGTTCATTGATTCGACGCTGCTTTACGTTATTGCCTTATGTCTCTGCTGTGATTGGCTGATTCGCTTACGCCTTACGTTTTTTTTGTGTGCTGTAGTCTTTGTTCCTCTCGTTCGGAGAAGAAACATCCGTTTCTTACTAACGTCAGGCCGAATTCAATAGATGCGATGCCACGAGTGGGGAAAGTTTCGACATATCGATGCGAGATCGGTTTGACATTCATAAAAACGCCTAATGCTCGTTTCTACCAATCTAGATTAATTTTAACCTCGGTTAAACTTAGGATAATATTCATAATTCATTTTTATTATAAGATCGTCTTAAGCAGCTCTACAATGAGATTTTAAGGCGTAAATCTTAAACTTTAAACCTTAAGCTGTAAGAAATTAATCAATCGAATGTGAGGAAAATAATCGACTATAAATAATATCTTTAGATGCTAAAGTCCTCCGATTGGCTTATGATATTTTAAGGCTTGACTATACGAAGACCGGTCTTATTCTTTGTCTTTTTCTAATCCTTAGAACTAGAAAAACATGAAAAGTTAGTTGAACCATTAAAATTACATTGGTAGAACGGAGCATAAATGGTGGGGTTATCGCGTATACAGGGCGTTTCACACGATACCTTGCGAACCGAACTTTGGAACTTTAAAAAATTGATTTTTTTTTTTCGACAGAAGGATACATTCAAATTTATTCAATTATTTTAATTCTCTTAAACGATTCGTTAATTGAAGTAACATATTCACTATCTTGAACAAGTCTTCATAATCTGTCTTTAATTCCTTTTTGCCAACGCATATTCGGAGTGAAGTGAACTTATATTCCGCGATATCCATGAAAAAGAAAGGAACAGTACAAAACCGACGTACAAGCAGATAAAAGTAAACATAACAATGCTAATAAGATAAAAGCCGGTTGCATCAACAGGTTAGGGCCGAGCGAACCGTGTGCGCGAATGCCTCCATGTTTCTTTCCAGAGTAACAGCTCTAATCGCTTTTCCCACGCGCCGCATGGAAACAAAAATTTTCCAATTTGTCTTCGAAATTCGACGGAGTGGCTCGAATGTTAGCATTCATTCATCGTACACGGCAAGCGTCTTACCGCAATGTATCTCAATCTCGATCGATCTCTTTCGAAGGGACTTGGATACATTTATGTACGACATTCACCGCGATATTATCGCAGCAATGTACCTAGCTGGAAAAAAGACGTACCGGCGCCATTTGTGACAATAGCAAACGGCGCCGTTACACGGCATCGGCGAAAAGGAACACAAGCTCGTGGATCATGATCGAAGGGTGCTCACCGTATCGTCGATCGTTCGTCGCGTGCTCGCGTTGGAGCCGGTCATCCTCCTCGACGGACATCGCGGTCCATCTCATCGTGTCGACGCACTCACGCTCGTACGAATTCTTCCATCCCGCAACAGTCCTCGAAACGTTTTTTAACGGACCGATCACTCCGACATAGCGGCCATGCGTGTACGCGACGCGGGAAGCGACAGTACTGCCAACTTTATCGGCCACTCGCTCCGCTCGCTCTTAAAGGCATATCGCAACACGCGTGTCGCGTATCGCCCTGCCGAAAGCGGTGTAGACCCCTCCATCTATTCTCCGAAAATGTCGCCGCCCTACCGACGGACTTTGATTTGCCTATCATTAGAGAGATGCGCGACGTCATTGATTTCAGTTTTAAATTCTAACCACAGGGTTCGGCGAAATACATACGGTATTTTGTATTTGTAAATCTTTTGGAATAAAATCTCACTTCGA